CTAACCCACGAGGTGTGAGAAAGATGTGACAGTCTACTTTCATATAGATTACAGCCTTGGAAACCCTATGGAGCAGTTCTACTCTGCCCTTCAAGCAGATTCTGGCCTTTCCTCTCCTGGCAGAATGTGCTGATGGGAAGCCAGCAAGGAGTCATGGCACAAAAACGCCAGGGTCCAGACCACACTGTCAATGTGCACAGCTCTCACCACTAGGCGTCCAAACCGACTCAACGGCAATGGGTTTGGTTTTGGTTTTGATACTTACCTCATTTAATCCTCACAACAACCTGATGGGGAGGGATATTTTTATTAGCCACATTTTTCTAGATGAAGAAACCTTATCTTTCTGTTTCCCAAACTGGCCAAGCTCACCATGGCCTCAGGGCCTTTGCACTAGCTGCAGGGCCCTCCCCTGCCCTTCATGTGGCTGCAGCCTTCTCACAGAGCAGGTGTCAGCTGAGGTGCTACCTCCTGTGCAAGATTGTCCCTGATCCGTGTCCAGCCCCTGCTTCACTCCTCAGTCACATCCCTACTCTCTTTCAAAGCAGTTATCCCTCTCTGTTTGTTGACATGTTTATGGTCTGACTCCCTAAGTAGAATGTGAGGTCCATTCTTGTGCACTCTTTGCCTAGCAAAGCAACTCGATAAATACTGTTAAATGGATGGCAATAACTTGTCTAGTGTCAAATGGCTAATAGGTGGGGGACGCAGGACATGGAGCCAGGTCGCTCTGACCCCTGGGCCCCTGCTCTAACCACAACGACATGAAACTTCTCCGTTCAAGGGGATTGGACTCGAGTTGTAAGAGTGGGGTTACTAGAGGTGCCCCAGGGCAGGAACGAGCAGGAAGGAAATCCGAGGCCTCTCCAGCTAGTGTGATCAACTGAAGAAGAATACAGGGCTTGAGTCCTTCCAGCTTGAGCCCCGATGTTGACTTTTAGTAGCAGAACTGGAAGGGTTCCAGTCATTCAGAGCGGACTGCAGGGCATTTGAGAGAAGGCACATTTCAGTGAGTAATAACCTACCTCTCAGAGTGGATGATGCATCTATTGTTACCTGCTTTCAAGGCAGAGGTGAACAGTGGAAGGAGCCCCAGGAGCACCTGGCTCAGTCCTTGACTGGGCTCTGAGGCCTTGGGCAAGTCACTCCACCATCTGGGCCTGGGTCTGCTCATCTGTAGACTGAGGTGGTTGGGTTACAAACAACAGATTTTAAATACACTGCTATGTTGTTGTTGTCGTTGTCGTTGTTGTTAGTTGCCGTCGAGTTGGCTCCGACTCATAGCAACCTTGTGCCTGACATAACGAAACGTTCCTTTTCCACTTCTCTCTCATATTCTCACTGAAGAGTTAACATTGCATTGTCTTTAAAAATCACATCCCCATAAAAACAGAAATAAATGTCCTCCTCCTTATTCATGTCTTGGGACTGAGTTTTGTGCAACACCCTCTAGCCCACTTTCCCCTTGCCAGAATCGGTGGCAGATGGTTTTGCCCAAAATAAAACATCCTCCCTCACCCCCTGCCATGAAGATGATGGCGTTGACCCAGCCCAGACGTTCACACGACCTCAAATCCAGCGCTGGTGAAACTGTTCATTTTGAGTGGGCACCAGCAAGGAAGGGGAACAGCAGGGACTTGTTTCCAGCACACGAGTGAGGCAAGCAGAATCTGGCCTTTCTTCTCCTGGCAAAATGTGCTGATGGGAAGCCAGCGAGGAGTCACGGGACAAGCAGTGCCAGGGCCCAGACCACACTAGTGTCAGCGTGCACAGCTCACAACGCTGACCTCTGTGGGTCAGGGCAGGGGAGATAATGCCATGCAAAGGTCCTCTGATGGTGAGTGGCGATTAGGTTTTGCTTGTTTCTGAGACCATGGCCAATGTGTGGCCAGGCAGTCTTCCCAACCAAGGTCAGGTGATGCTTTGTCAGAGGTGATGGCAACAAGAGAGCAAAGACAGGCTTTGTACACAGATAGAAGGTCCCTGTCCTTTCTTAACTGAAGCTTGAAAATGGTAACTCATACCCCAGCTCTGGGTCAAAACGCATTCTGAGGCAAAGATCTGTAATATCTGTCTTTAAATATCTACTTCTATGAGGCTGCACTGCAGTATGAACCTTTCCCTATGTCACACATGGCCTTTTTAAGGGAGAAATGAAAGGTATCAGAGGAAGAAATGAAAGGAAGAGGAAATTGGATGATGATGCAGAACGGCTCCTTGTGACCAGAATAAATGCTTTAAAAGAAAATCCTAAAGCAGATACCATTTCCCTGAGCACTGCTAAATCTGAGTCATGTGAAACCTGTAGGAGGTATCAGTTATACTTGGTGCATTGTACTGGCTGGACTCTATGGCAACATTCTCATCTTTCGTCTCCGTCAGACAATGTGCCAAGTCGTCTATTTAAAATACTGACAAAAGAACGCCTGCCCGTGCAGAAGTCCCCACGTAAGGGCCTTTCTCAGTGAGTGAGCCACTTTCCAGCAACATGTCCTGGTGACCCATGCGCAGGGATGACCCAGAGTGATGGCTTTTGGTGCTGTAGGGAGAGATGCATTGCGAGCTCTGAGCTGCTGAGAGGCGTCATTGTCCTCTGTATTGGTGAATCCGTGGCAGAGCCATCTGCTAACAACAGAGGGATTTCCCCCACTCTTCTTCACATCCTCCTCAACTGTATCCCCCAGCTCCTCAGCCAGTGCACAATGCCGGCCTGAGATTACCACTGGCAAAGGCAGGGAACCCAGGGCTTATGCTATAGCTGATTTCCATGGTTTTCACTGAGATACTGAGGTGTTTTTACATGGTTGACTGAAATCTAGCGAATGTTCCTTTGTTCACTACGTTTACAAACAGTGATCAACACTTTGGGTTTCTTTCATGCACTGGTGTCTTTCTTGGGATGGTCTCTGTAGGTCCCTTGAATATAGGAGAGCAGAAACCATTCTGGAGATTTACCACTCCTCAGGGGTAAATGAAAGATGTTAAGAGCTCTAGCTTTATGTTTTAGGGAATAACTGCCTTTGATGGCAGTGTAGAGTATTCAGGTTCAGCCTGTGGTGTGTTGTAATGTAGTGGTGACCTTCCCATCAAAGAAAGAGCCTAGGAGACAACTAAGTAAAATAGAAAGGCTTTTGGGCTTGGATGGGAAGTTGATCTAAATGACCTCTAAGGTGTCTTCCAATCTGGAATTCTATGATTCTCTTGGGAAAATAGTATCCTATGGGGCTGGCAGAAGGTTGTGGGGAGGGGAGGAGAAGGCCTAGATTTGATTTTAAGTCTGGAGAGAAGATAATTGCAATGCCACAAGGATGACGACTGGAGAATGGGAATTGGCCAACAATCATGTTGTCTACAAATAAAGTTTTGGTTCTTCATTCCCAATCAGTATGCCTTTTTTTCTTGCCTATTGCATTGATTAGGACATCCAGTAGAGTGTTAAGTAGAAGTACGAGTGGATATCTTTGTCTTTTTCCTGATGTTAGAGGGAAACCATTTAGTCTTTCACTAGTAAGGGTGATGTTGACTATAGGTTTCTTGTAAATGTTCTTTTTCAGATTGAAAGAAGTTCTATTCCTAGTTTGATGAAAATTTTTATTAAGAATGGATGTTGAATTGTATCATATGCCTTTTCTACATTGATTGAGATGACCATATGATTTTTCTTATTTAATGTGTTAATATGGTGAATTACATTGATTAAATGATTCAAATTTTGGACCATATTCTGGCAGGTAGTTAAACTACTTGCAGATCAGTTTGATCTTTTTGAAGCTTGTTGTTAAGCTTTATTATGGCAGGTCCACAGCAGCCTTTATTCTTGGGTTAATTTAGCCCCACTATAAGGACAAGAGGAGGAGTCCTGGTGGCACGGTGGTTAAGCATTCAGCTGCTAACCGATAGATTGGTGGTTTGAACCCACAGCCGTTCCGCAGGAGAAAGATGTGGCAGTTTGCTTCCATAAAGATTTACAGCTTTGGAAACACTATGGGGCAGTTCTACTCTGTCCTATCGAGTCACTATAAGTCAAAATTGACTTGATGACGGTGGGTTTGGATTTTGTTTTTGGACAAAGACAAGGGAGTCCCTGGGTGTGCAAATGGTCAACATGCTTGGCTGCTAACCAAAAGGTTGACAGTTCAAGTCCACCCAGAGTCACCAGGGAAGACAGGCCTGGCAATCTACTTCCAAAAAACCAGCCATTGAAAATCCTATGGAGCACAGTACTCCTCTGGCACACATGGGTTGCCATGAACCAGAGTCAAATAGACAGCAGCTTTTTTTTTTTTTTTTAACTAAGACAAGATTCTTCTGAGGGCTCTAGCCAAAATTCCATTATTTTGTGAGTCTCTCCACACTGACTGATGTGAGCTCTGAGAATTGTACATGAACATAGATCTTGACCAGTTTCTAGCTATGTGGGCAGGAGTATAACTCCTGTAGTGATGGATCCTCATGAGCAGAAATAGAAAATCTCACCCATTACATTTTGCTCACACCATCACTGTCCTTATTTAATGCTTTTCCTAAAGCAACCTTACTTGCTTTGCTGTTTTGATTAAAAGCGTTTTGAATTGGAATGCACAGAAAGAACACTGGAGATGGAATCAGAGGACCTTTGCTCCTTAATTAGCAGCATCACTCATATCCACTCTAGGCCTTAGTTTCAACTTCTATAAAATAAAAGGATAACTGCCCAGTTGGTCACCACAATCTGTTGGGAGAAATAAACTAAGTGGTGTAGGTGGCAACACCCAGCCTTGTGATCAGGCCTCACTTGCTTTTTGCTGTTGCTATGAGTGCCCCTCTGTGCTTCACTCCTCTCTCCAACCTGTTGGCCCAACCAAATTTCTCTAAAAGTATTCCAGCAGAGCCACTCAGAAATACTATTCTTTAATGATGTGTTTGGTTTTTAAAGCTGCTTTATCTCAAAAGTACAAAGTACAATATTATTTTCCTCTAAAATTTCTTGCACAACAAGATAATATGCTATTTATTCTCAGGGCAACCAGGAGCCACAGGAAATCCAGGGGGAAAAGGAGAAAAGGGAGACCCTGGTGAACTGGGCTTGACCGGAAACGAGGGCCCATCAGGGCAGAAGGGTGAAAAGGGAGAGAAAGGGGATGTGTCCAACGATGTGCTCCTGGCAGGTAAGAGGTGAATTTTCTGGCTCCCTTTGAGACATATGGACCCAGAAACCTGCCTGGTTTTCAATACAAGAGCTGCTGGGTCTTTTCTGCTTGTTTGCCTTTTGTGGCCACCCAGTTGGCAGCCTGCTCTAGAGTTCTGTGCTTTCAAAAAAGAGGAAACTATTCGTGTTACTCCAGTAGGGGCAAGACCAAATCTGGGCTCCAAGAATAACTCATTTAGATAATTCAGGTCTAAAAGTCATGTTTGGATTGAATAGGATGAAGGAAGCTTCCTTTTTCCAGGTATCTATTTAAATCCAGCACAGTCTGAAACAGGACAAGTAAGCGACGTAAGGTACTTCAGAGGACAACTGGCAAAGAGTACATGCATTTTCTTCACAGTAGAGGTACAGCCATTCTCAGGCCCTTATCCTAAGCTTCTGACAGAAAATTAGGGGCAAAATTTGGTTTCTGATTTGCTTTTGTATGGTTTCCAACCCAGATTAAAAGCAAATATTCGGTGTCTGTGCAGGAAGTGGAAAGGGGCAGCAAGCACCACACAGAAATCACAGTGATGGAAAGAGTGGGGGACAGCTGAGTGTAGTGGGGGAGGAGAGGAGGCAGGAGAATTTTAAGTGTAGTGTAGTACTTAGCAGACAGTTTATGTGATAAAAATATCACTGTACTATTAATATATTCAACGAGCATTTATTAAATACAGAGAACAACTTTTATGAGTGAGGGACTGTGAAATATGAATATGAAAATGAGTGAGGTATGATTATCTGTCCTAAGGAAGCTAGGATGACAGATGTTTAGAATAATAACCTGCATGACTCAGCCACCCAATCACCCATCCATCCATTCAGCATTGACTGAGCATCTACAATGTGCCAGGCGCCATGTGAAGGCCAAAACATCAGGGAAAGATTAAATTCCATTTAGCGTGATTTGTTTCATAAACAGGGGAAGTTGCTATGTAAAATACCTAAAATTTAAATTGTGTTTTGACAGGATGGTATACACGAGTATACTTTGAAAATATAAGACCCTGTTGTGCTTCAGTTATATGGAAAATCTGCATCCAGAATACCGCATTCCCCTCTCTGCTGAACAAGCAAAGAGTGACAGTAAACCATTCAGAACAGCACCATCCCTGAGTATACCCCAATTCAAGAGACCAGACTAGAGCTGAGCATGCCACTGGGCAGAGTGGGGAGAAGGTGTGCAGGGTTGGATCATGTCTGCTTTGGCCTGCAGACCTCTGGCCCTTGTGTCCCCTACCTGCCCACTCTATAGACTAAAAGGGCTTACTTGCTCTGGGTGGAAAGAGGCAGCTTAGACCTGAGATCACTAGTCTCAGCTCAGGACAGGAGGGTAGAAACAAAGGACTGAACTGCCAGCCAAGTAGTATCTTTATGGAAGCTCCAGAACCAACAGGCCTGCAAAGGGCAGCACCGCCATTAGCCACCTGAAATTAGAGGAATGGCTGCCTGCTGGTGTGTAGGATTACAACTTAAAGCATTCACAGCAGTGACCTCATTGGAGTCTCCCAGGGCAGGCCAGGGCAGTGATTTTGAGACTTAATTTGGAAATGAGAAAACAGGCTCAGAAGGGTTAATCTCCCTGCCCAAGATCACAATGCTGATTAGAACCAGAACCTAAAGGAGCCCCTGATTTCTCATTAGGGATTTTCCTTCTACCACATAGAGCAGTGCTTCTCATACCTGGCTGCATAAAAATGCGGGTGTACAACCTCACACCCCTCAACATTCTGATTTAATTGGTCTGGAACGAGACCCAAGCGTTAGTATTTTATTAAAGCTCTTCAGGTGACTGTAATGTGTAGCCAGGGCTGACATCCACTGACACTGGCCAATGTCAAATGGGTGATCTCTGGAGTGCGACACACGTGAAGCTGAGTTTCAGCTGTTCAGGTTGTGACCTTGGGCAGACCACTTAACTTCTCTAAGACTCAGTGTACTGTGGGGTAATGATACTACCTCACAGAGTGGCTGGGGAGAATGATGGTGAGGAGGTCTAGAAAGTTCTCAGCACAGTTCCTGGCATGTAGTTGGTACTCAGCACCTACTATGGGTTTTTTTTCAACTCTGTGTAGACGAGTGCTAAAGTACAGTCACCTTTGGGAAGGCAGAAGCTCAGAGAGACTCGTAGAGCTGCTTATTACTCCTTTTCCCTGTGAAACCTAATCTCCGTTGATGGCTCTTTAATCAGTCAATCAATCTCTCTTTTCCAACCCAGGTGCAAAAGGTGACCAAGGCCCACCTGGCCCACCTGGACCCCAGGGCCCTCCAGGTCCTCGGGGACCACCTGGAAGCAGAAGACCCAAAGGCTCACGGCCGCCAAACATGTTTAACGGCCAGTGCACAGGTCACTAACCCCTGCCCAGGGAACTCTCCTTTTCCACTAATGATTCCAAACTCTTGGGCTGCACCAGGCTTTGTGACCAGATTTTTTTAAAACAGAAGGAAGATATTTTGCCCAAAGTGAGATTTCCCCTTGCAACATGTTCATGGGAGGCCAGAGGCATCTGCGCCAGAGATGAGGACTGGGGGCAGGTTGAGAATTGGACTCCCCACCCACTTTCTTATCCCTCCCCTTTCATTTATGTCCAGGCTATTCCTCTTTCTAGTCCAAATCCACCAGTCTCCAAGTCTCTACACAGTCTCTAAGGCTAAGCTGTTAAACTTCTTGCAACCATACACTTTTGGGAATGTGAAGGGCTTGACTGATACTCGGGAAAATTATGGGGGAGCTCCAATCTGTCACCTCCCCACAAGTAGTAACTATAATACTGCCATCACCACTGAAATCCCAGGGTTATGCAAATGGTCAGTGTACTCAGTTGCTAACCAGAAGGCTGGAGGTTCTAGTCCACCCAGAAGTGCCTCAGAAGAAAGACCTACTTCTGAAAAATCAGCCACTGAAAACCCTGTGGAGCATGGTTCTGCTCTGACACACATGCGGTCACCATGAGTCAGAATCAACTTGACGGCAACTAGTGGTACCATCACCACCACTATTTTTTGAGTGCTAATGAGCAGGCACAGTTTTAAGTGCTTATTTCATTTAATCCTCACAGTAATCCTATGAAGTAGGAATCATGATTGTCTCCAATTTAGAGAGAGAAAACTGAAGCCCAGAGGAGCTGAATAAGTTGCCCAAGGTCACTCAATTAGTAAGTGGCAGAGCTAGTTTCAAACCCAGGTCTGCCTGACTCTAAAGCCCTTGGTCTTAGAGCATTTTCCTTTCAGAGATGGTAATTCACTCTTTGAGACCTAAGCCTGCCAAGGATAAGGAATGCCTGACCTCTGGCAGGGCAAGAGGACTTGTTCCGTGGCCAGTGTGTAGCAGGGGTGGTGCTAGCAGGGGTGGTGCCAGGAGTAAAAGCTAATTAGAAATCAAAGGGCTGTACTCGCAGAAATGGAGTCCCCAGGTGGCACAAATGGTTAAGTGCTAGACTACTAACTGAAAGGTTGGAGGTTCGAACCCACCTAGGGGTGCCTCAGAAGACAGGCCTGGCGATCTGCTTCCAAAATGTCACAGCCTTGAAAACCCTATGCAGCAGTTTTACTCTGCACACTTGGGGTCGCCATGAGTCATAATCGATTTGATGGCAACTAACAATAACAACATTAATAGAAATACTCCTTGGGTGATGCTAGAACTTCTTCCCAGTAGAGGGGACCTAAGTTCCATTCACTTAGACCATGAAGTACAACCTGATGCCCTCACTTCACTGGCAAACAAAGAGGATCCCAGCTGGATTTCTCTCTCATAGATTTCTCTGCCATCTTCCTAAACATTCTTTAGTTCCGTTTGGTTCACTGTTCTTTCTGGAAGACATTTTGGGGTCATGCACTTAACTGTCAGAGTGGGTGAATCTGTGCTTTCAAAGATGTCACCCAGTCCCCAATAAATGGAGCCTGATTGTAATTCCGCCCCACAGTCAACACTGTTAGATTATGGAGATCTGATCCTTCCCTGGCATTCAGCACCTCCCCTCCATTAGCACCAGCTCCTTTGATCAGCTTCCCTTAGAGAAAGCTGAGCAGGGACACTCCCCTGAGAGAAAAAGTGACCTGAGCTTCTACAGAGTTCTAATTTGCCAAAGGCTCTGTCAGGCAGTGACAATCAGGCCTGCAGAAGCACTACACTTTGCTTAGCATATCCACGAAGAGGCTGGGTTGAAAAACTGCTTTAAATGAGAGGTTATTATCTTCCAGTCAGCCTACCAGAAATGGGTCCTCAGTCTCCAGGCTTCTGCATCTGAATTTGGCCCTCTCTTCTGCTTCGGTTCCTTTAAAATCGCCACCCCTCTCCTGTTCCCACAGCTGCAGAGGCAGGTTAGTACGACAGAAATTAATGAGAGCCTTTCTTCAGAATGCAACCCTGGTGGCACAGTGGTTAAGAGCTATGGCTGCTAACCGAAAGGTTGGCAGTTCAAATCCATCAGTCGCTCCTTGGAAACCCTATGGGGCAGTTCTACTCTGTCCTATAGGTTGCTATGAGTCGGAATCAACTCAACAGCAGTGGGTTTGGTTTGGGTTTTTTCTTCAGAATGAGAACAGGAGAGTTTCTATGTTCCTTTCTTGTGCAAAGCCCAAGGTCCTAATCGTAGAATCTGAGGAAACCGCAGATGAAACCTGGAGGCAGCAGGACGCATATGGGGGAGTCGTAACAAACCCGAGATTGATCTCATCAGGTGACAGGTCTTCAGAGAAACACAGGTTCATACAGCTAGAAAGAAGCTGAGAGATCATGTGGGGTTCAGCCCCCCTGATTTTATTGATGAACAAATCTCTTCAGATTATTCTGCGAGCTTCCACAGTGACAATACAGATGCTATCCTTTTTGTCTAATAATCACAAGGTGATTTGAACCCCTGAAAACTTGTCTAGGTGACTGGGGCCTATTCCCAGAAAGCCAGATTCTCCCCGGCCTGCCCCAGCCCAGTCTACTCCTTACATCTTCTCACTGATTGTGTCCTCTCCTCTTCCTGCCACCTCGAGGCACCTCTTCACCAAAGGTCTGAATGAAGCGCATTCATCGTGGAGAGCGTTGACAAGCCAAGGACGACAAGTTACAGCACAGGGAAAAAGGAGGCACGGCCTCAAACCCACCACAGATCAGGCAGTCCTCGAGGACTTGTGCCCCTCTAGGTCTTCAAGCAGAGACAGGCAGGAAAATGGTGGTGAGGAGACTCAGATGTCTCCAAGTCTATCCACCTCTAGGTTCCTTCTCCCTCTGAGGCTCTGTGATGCCTCTCTCAGCACCTCTCACAAAGCTCTGGTAGTCAGAGCCACCCCATTTCGCACCTCCCCATCAGCTTCTCTGCAAGTGAAAACGCTTTCAGAACAATGCCATCTGTAATAGTGATGCCACCTGCCGAGAGAGGCCAGAAAGGTATCAACAGACCTCTCTTTCCCCAGATTGCTGAGGGCTGGAACAGGCTGGTTCAGGCCACTTTTACCCTTTTACTGACATCGTCTTGGGATTGTATTATTCTAGAAACTGAGGTCACGGAAAGCTTCTTGGGAACACACAAGCGGGGGAAAATTGGAAGCAAATCACTTGGTGTTGCTTAAAAGCAAGCAACCAGGAAACCTAGTGGGCCGAGTGGGAGGGGTGCGAAGGGGCTGGAGTATGGAGTGGAGGGGGGGAAGCACCAGTTATAAAGTTACAAATATTTCACTGTGCCAACTGCATTTGCTCTCGTTATTACTGTCATTGTTTTAGGTGAGGCATGTGCTATACCAAATGATGATACCTTGGTTGGAAAAGCTGATGAGACTGTCAGTGAACACCATTTCCCACAAGCAGGTACAGAAACAAAGCACCCTGTTTTGAAATTCAGAGATCAGATGCCTTAAAGTCATAGTTGGCAGGCAAGTGACCTTCCTTTCTCCTCTTTTGGCAGAATCTGTGATCACTTCCATTGGAAATTCAACGCAAGTACTTAAAGTTAAGGAGACATTTGGGACCTGGATAAGAGAGTCTGCTAACAAGAGTGATGAACGGATTTGGGTGATTAAACATTTTTCAGGTATTGCCACTTGATAGGTCACTCATATCTGTGTTATATTTTTCATCTGTTGCCTATCTTCAGGCTTATTCTATTTCTGTGGGTCTAAAATCCCTATTAAATCTAATTGGTTTAATAGAATTATTCTTTATTTTAGAAAGCATAAGTGAATGGACATCATACTTTTCTTGGTTGAATACTCTGGTATGCCTGCAGTTCAGATCACAGGGACATGAGCAGGCACCCCTAGTGCAGCTTTTCCAGTTTCAGGCAAAATATCCAGATGTAAACAAATAGCATTTTGACTGCAGATCTTACAAATCTCAAAGCCAAAATGTGGAAGAAATGCCAGAGACAAGTTGTTTTGTGTCCTGTCCATTGAAGGCTGGCCCACTCTCAGGAGAGTACTTTTGGCCATCCGTCTCAGAGCTGGATGGAGACCTCAGGGAAGGAAGGTGAAGTGCCATTTTGCAGTCACACTGCTACCCCAAAGGGATGTGGTCCAGACTCACTGAAGGTAGCAGCAGTGGCCTCATTCCAGAAGGGGCCTGGCAATACTTACTGGACAGAGATTAGACTCATTGACAATAGCTGAGATGTGCGTCTTCATTTTACCAAGGTTAATTCTGATCAGCTGGTAGTAACTGCTCAGATTACTGGCTGAGAAGGATTTTGAGGCTCAAAGGGAAAGAGTATACAGTACTGTGAATTAACAGTGGCTGCTGTGGAGTGCAGGAGGAGGCAGGAGGTGACTGCGCAAGTGCCAAGTATTTGCTATCCCTGTGTAGGCCTATGTCATTCTGGCAGAAAACAAATATAGAGTGAGGTGGGGAGGGGATGATGCATAGTTCTCTTGAGAGGAGCAAAGCAAATGTTATTTGAACAACATTTCAGGAATCCATAGACGAGAACTGGACTTTGAGTTTGGGAGTCAGACCCTTCACACTGGATAAGGGCCCGCAGAGGATATCTCACTCTCAACTGCCCCCCTTTTACGTTCCTCCCCCGACTCATTCCCAGGCTGTGAGTGCTGGGCAGCAGGTAACAACAGCCTTTTCCTGGCTTCCCTCCTACAGGCATCTTGGTGAAGGAATTCAAAGACTGGCCCTCACTTTTGAATAACAGTTACATGTCCATCCAACTCCCACATTACTTCCAAGGCTGTGGGCATGCTGTTTACAACAACTCTCTCTACTACCACAAAGCAGGCTACAACACCATAGTGAGGTGAGTCACTCAGACCCTGCAGAGCCCTGTGGGCCACTCGGAGGTAGGGACTGTGTTTGCATCATCTTTATATCCCCAGGGCCTGGCACACAGCTAGAGGTCAACAGGGTTTGCTGACCAAATGAATCCCAAGACAAGGTGAGTAAGCCCCATCTCCCAGCCCTGCCATGGGTCTGCATGTATTGCTGGTGGTGGACACCGAGAGTAAGGTTAGAGCAGGGAGAAGGAGACTTGGCGTGGTAAGAGGCTGCACCATTCTCATCCTCTGAGAAAGGAAGCTGCCAGAACCCACAACTTCCTGTGGCAGGAAAGCATTGCTCCCTGAGATCAGTTTTGTTCTGAAACACTTTGGGTGTGAAGAATTTCACGCCACAGCTGGCGCCATTGAAGACTAGAGATTGCAACCCAACGTCAGGCATCTCTGCCTTCAGAGTGCTCTGTTGTCCTGATGGCGCCCCCGCCAGGCCACCACTCCTCCTCGCTCTGCCTTCCCAAGGGGAAGGGATGGGATCACCTGGGTAGACTGTGCCCAGGGCAGCAGTCGAGCCTGTCTGGCTCCCCACAAAAATTGCTGAAGTTTTGTTTTTGTGGCTCAAGAAATCAAGCTCTGGGCCTTACAGGAAGAAGCAGTTCATCATGGACAAATCAAAAGTGCTTGCATATGTGTGTGGGGGGTGGCAGGGATAGTCCAGGGAGCAATGAATTGAGAGTCAGAACTGACTTCTGGTTTCAACTCTTCAACCTACTCACTCTATGGCCTTGGACAATGGCCATCACCTCCTGAGACTTCCATGTCCTCAACTAAATAAAGAGGTGGCTAGAGCTTCTGAGTCCCTCCAGCTCTCTCTGAAATCGTAATTCCAATATTATGGAAGCCACATCAGGGACAGATTACCCAGTAAGCAAGGTACACATGGGCTCACTTGTGTTTACTTGCTAGTCTGTAGTGCACACTTTCACCCAATTGTGCACTACAGATTAGTAAGTAAATACAAGTGAGCCCATGTGTACCTTGCTTACCGGTTAAGCCACCCCGGCCAGGGTCCTGGTCAGTCAGAACAAGAGATGGTGACCTTGTTTGGGAGGATTGGGTCCCTTATCTCTTCTTCATCCTCCCTCTGCCCTTGGTGAGGTCCACCCTAACTACTTCTTTGGCATTTGATTGCTTAGGTTAGGATGGGGATGAGTGTCCTAGTGTAATGTGCAATTAGATCAGCTATGGTAGACACAGTGTCAGCTGTGGCTGCAAGCATCCCCTCCTTTGCCTCTCATCCCTCTCTACCCAACTCCCCCATCATCCCTACATCTTTCCCACCACCTCATTTGGGCAGTCTTGTGCTAGTAGAAAAGGACAACTGATCCACCTCCTGTACTAATTCAGAAGCCATCATTCCTATGACATGCTCCTTCCTGTGACTTTTCTTCTCATTTAGTCCTGTGATGGCCTGCTGCTGTGTTATATAAGGCCATTACTGCATGGGGGTGGAGGGGTAACTGGGAAGAGCTGGGGGTGAATGAGCCCCAGAAACAGGACTAACTGTTCAAGAAAGGGTGTCTTCCAGTGAAGCTAAATTTGTGTGACACACTGGTTAGAAAACCTGTACCGAGCCCTGCTGCGTGCCAGGCCACAGGCTGGGAGCTGAGGGAGAGCAGACCTGGATTAGACCCTATTCCTGCTGTGAAGGATAAGCTTCATCAAGGACAGCAGCTGGGTGCCAGTACCAGACCAAGGCCAATGGCAATGCTTAATTCCAGGCATTAAGAGAGGAATTCCTGTGAGCTGAGACAGGCAGGCAGGGCCTCCCCAAGCCCTCAGTCTTCTCTAGTTTCTTTTCAAACTTACTCCAAGGTTTCTGAATTGGTTTCAGGTTTGCTATTCTCAAATGCACAGCCACAGAGCCACACATTTCCCATTTCTTCTGCTGCTGAATGCTGCCCTCTGGTGTCTCTCTTTTCTCTCACCTGTTGCCGAGTCAATTCTGACTCATAGCAACCCTGTAGAATGGAGTAGAACTGCCCCATAGTTTTAAAGGAGCGGCTGGTGGATTTGAACTGCCTACCTTTTGGTTAACAACTGAGCTCTTAACCACTGCACCACCAGGGCTCCTCTTTTCTCTTAGTCTAACCAAAACAAAAAACCAAACCCATTGCCATTTTTTTCTTACCTGCTGTTGAGTCGATTCCAACTCATAGCAACCCTATAGGACAGAGTATAACTGCCCCATAGGGTTTCCAAGGAGCGCCTGGTGGATTCAAACTGCCGACCTTTTGGTTAGCAGTCTAGCTCTTAAGCACTGTGCCACCAAGGTGGCCCTGAATTTTCATTCCTGGGTACCTCTTGAGTCATAATTTGGAGTCTGCCAAATCAGACAGCCTCCAGGCTCTAAGGAGCATGAGATTTCATGCTGTAGTTTAATTTATGCAGCCACTTACCTGACAAGAAAATTTAACTTCACAGCCCTGACTTTGCTGCCTCGGCTACACCTCTTCTCAGCTGGTGACTTTTTTCTTAATTTAGAATGCTGTGAAAATTTTTTTTCTTTAAATTTCAGCATGGAGTAAAGGGGGAAAAAAAACAAACTTGAATTAGAAAGCTTAAGTTCAAACTCTGGTTCTGCCACTTATGTTCATGAGCCAGTCACTTTCCTTTTTCATTTGTAAAATGAAAGGGTTGAATTAGATGATTTTTTTAAGGCCACTTGCAGCTCTAAGAATCTTTGAGAAGGGATTTCAGTAGAGGTCACTAGTCATCTGTGGATTAGTGAGGTAATTCTCCCAGAGTCGTATGGCTAACAGTGGGGACGCTTAGATGTGAATTCATTCTGACTCCAGAGTGTTCTCTTTAACACAACTATTAACTATTACCTGTTTCTTCTGTTCTGTTCTTAACTATTTAACACAAGCTAGTTACTGTTCCTTATATCCTTTCTGCTCAAAGTGTTACTGACCAACCAGCAGAACAGGCATTACCTGGAAGCTTGTTGGAAATGCAGAATCCCAGGCCCCACCCCAGCCTTACTAAATCAGAATCTGCATTTTAACAAGATCCGAAGGTGATTTATCTACACATTGACGTTTGAGAAGGATAGCTCTATACAAACCCATCTGCCCATGACAACCATTCTTGTGCAGTTTGAACAGCTGTTTTCTTTCCAAAAGGTCGGCAGTTCAAATCCTCCAGGCACTCCTTGGGAAACCTATGGGGCAGTTCTACTCTGTCCCATACAGTCACTGTGAGTAGGAATTGACTTGACAGCAACGGATTTGGGTTTTGGTCTTGGTTTTCTTTCGGCAGTCAGTTGTCTTTTAAAGGAATAGATAGGAAGCAGAAGCTTACTTACCCACGCATCGACCATTTCCAGTGTTCTACTTTCTTTGTGTAAACCCAATTTTCCATCTGGTTTCTTTCCCTTCGGCTTGAAGAAGTTTCTTTAACATTTCTTGTAGTGCAGGTCTGTTAGTAACATTTTCCAGCTTTTATTTATCTGAAAATGTTTTTATTTCACCTTCATTTCTAAAGAATATTTTTGCTGGATATAGAATTCTAGGTTGACAGGTTTTTCCCTTCAACAGTTTAAGATGTTGTTTCATTATCTTCTGGCTTCTGCTGCTTCTGAGGGAAAGTCAGTCACTATTCTTATCATTGTTCCCCTATATGTAATCTGGTTTTTTTTTAATTGTCTCTGGCTGCTTTTAAGATTTTCTCCTTATTTTTGGTTTTCTCTGTGTTTATCCTGCTTGAAGTTTGCTAAGCTTCTCATATCTGTGGTTACTTTTTTTGAAAATCAAATTTGGGAAATTTGGAGCCACTATGTGTTTAAATATTTTTTTTTTAATGTTCCAATCTCTCCTTTCTTTCTGGGACTCAAAATATATTAGGCTGCTTCATACTGTATCCAAGTCACAGTTTCTGTTGCCCATCTTCAAGATTTCTGACACTTCTTTTGTAGTTTCCAATATACTGTTAAACATGTCCAGTTAATTTTTAAAATTTCACATAGTACACTTTTCAGTTCAAGAATTTATATTTGGTTCTTTTTTATAGTTTGCACTTCTTTGATGATATTGGGTCCATTCCTTCCTTTAAATCACTTAATATATTTGTAATTGTTTTAAAATCCTTATTTGACAATTCCAGTATGTGTCATCTCTGGATATGTTTGTACTGAATATTTTATCTTCTGCAGATGCAGGTCATTTTCCTGCTTCTTCACATATCTAATAATTTTGTATTGTGAGCTAGACTTTGTGATGCAACACATTTGATAGTTTGGATTTTGTTGTCGTCCTTTAAAGAGGAAGTCTTTTTGGCCTTTGTTAGGGCACGTCTAGAGTAACCTACTCCTAAGGTATAGCCTACGTGGGGTCTCAACTGAATGCTAAGGCTATTCAGTGAGGTCACTCTACTCTGGCTGGTCAGAACTCCAGCATCTCTGAGCACTGTGCACCCTTTGGGCTCTCTGTTCAGCTCTCAGTTCCCCAGTAGTTTATCCATCAGGCATGTCAGAGTCTCGCTGCACATATGCAGCTTAGTGTTTAGCCAAATACATACAGGGACCCTTTACAGATATGTGGAGCTCCTCCATGCAGCCACTTTTTCTCCAATCCTCTGCCCACGTATTTTAGCCACCTCGGTAGCTCCAAATTGCAGTCTCTGTTTCTGTTGTCTGGTGAAACTGCTGTTCTGTGTTGGGGCTCCAATTTCCAGTGCTGAGGTTTGGAAAGTGTCCCAGGCAGAAAATCAGAGGGATTTTGGAGCTTACTTCCCATGATTCCCTTCTCCCATGGATCACAGCCCTGCACTGTTGTTCAATGCTGGAAAACAGTTCATACATTTTTGTCTAGTCTTATAGTTATTTCTGGCAGTCCACTACCCATTACTAGATCACAGCCAGAACAGCTCTATTTTCTGAAGGGACTCATACACTAAAACTAAGGCCGTATCTCTAGAGGCAGACAGAGGAATCGGCTTGCTTGGAATGGCTTGCTGGCCATACTAAATTCACCACAATTGTTTTTCTGCCTTTGAGCCTTTGCTCAAAATGGTGCCAAGTTTGCAGACTCAAACATGTTTTCTCAGAAATTCAATCCTATCCTGTTAATGACAGTTGAATAGTCTCAGCAAGTTTTCTCATATGAAAAGACTCAACCAAGAATATTGTTTCAGGCATCTGCAAGATCCCCCCCATCTAGCAAATACTTTTTTTTTAAATAAAAAGTTCATTGGAAAGATTCAGAGTTCTTTTTACATGGTCTGTCTATGCCACTAGTTGTGTATGTGGTATCTTACCAAGTTAAATGCAAGAGTCTAACAAACCATTTTTGTCCACAGAAATAGTGACTCATATCTACTTTTTAAAATATTTTTCAGATTTGAATTTGGCAGAGAAACATCTGAAACTCTGAAGATTGAAAATGCTTTGTATTTTGATAGAAAATACCTCTTTACAAATTCCAAGACTTACTTCAACTTAGCTGTAGATGAAAAGGGCCTTTGGATTATCTATGCTTCAAGTGTGGATGGCTCGAGCATCCTTGTAGCGAAACTGGATGAAAGGACATTCTCTGTGGTGCAACATGTCAACACCACGTACCCCAAATCCAAGGCCGGCAATGCCTTCATTGCCCAAGGGATCCTCTATGTCACAGACACCAAAGATATGAGTATAACATTTGCCTTTGATTTGTTAGGAGGGAAACAGATCAATGCAAACTTCAATTTACGAACTTCCCAGTCTGTTCTTGCCATGTTATCATACAATATGAGAGACCAGCATTTATATTCTTGGGAGGATGGCCATTTAATGCTTTACCCTGTGAAGTTTTTGCGAGGTACTTTAAACCAATGATGTGACACCGTTCCCAATGATAAATTTCAGATGTTCTCTGGGACCATTTCTATCCCAGCAGAAAACTGTCTTTAAGGTTAGCCAGGTACTTAGAATATAATCTTATGACGTGAGTGTTTATATGGACAGTGGACCCCTTTAAATTCAGATTCCTTAGTGGAAATGAGCAATGGATTGAAAGTCAGCATGGCTGAAGTTTGGTAATTCCTCCACAAACCAGCGGAGCAAGTCACTTCTCCCTCTTTGGGCCTGTTTCCCCATTGGTCATATGAAAGGGCTGGCTGAGATGACTGCTAAGATTTCCTCTACCTGTAGGAAATTCTGTGATTCTTGGCTGTTACTGCTCTCACAACTTCTATGCATCTGTTTTGTATGTTTGTTTTTTAACCACATGCAAGTTTACCCTTAAGTTGATAAGCCTAGTTGCTTAAGCAATGAATTCCTTAGTATTGACTTAATATTGGTTCCTTGGGAAATTGCATTGAGCCTTTAAGGCTGCTAAGATACCATATTGTCCACAATTTACTTTTCTCTGCACCTGCCACCACAGCACCTGAATGTCCATTATCCTCAGCTCCTGATCACAGTTCCAAGATTAGCAAAAGCCAGGAACAGCTGCCTGCTCAGGTTTCTTGATGAAACAGAATCAGGTCCTTCCAGGTTCTTATGAATTTCTGATCATGTTGATTTTCGGCTGTAGATCATAAGCATTGAATCCCCCATGTCACAGTGGCTGTTTCTACCACAGCTATGGATTAGAGTACTAAATAATGTATGAGTGAACTTTAACCTGGCTAGAACCATGGGATACACTTTGCATCTTTAAGAGAGGCACTATTTGTGGTTACTATCTACAACGGGGCTCTGCCAACTATGGCCCTTGGGCCAAAGCCAACTCACCTCCCGTTTTTAATACAGAAAGTGTTACTGGAACACAGCCACATGTATTTATGCACTGTAGTAGTCTATGACTGTTTTTGTACTACAAGGGCAGAGCTGAGTAGTTGTAACAGAGGGCCTGAAGTATTCACTTTTTGGCCCTTTTCAGAAAATGTTTGCCAACCCTTGATCTGGAATATAAAGTGAGCCTGATTCTTGGAAGGGCTTATTTACCAGAGCCTGTTTTGGGGGGTTGTTTTTTTTCATTCTGTATTTTTTTTTTTTTTTAATTGTACTTCAGGTGAAGGCTTACAGAACAAATAGTTTCTCATGAAACAGTGGTACACATATTGTTTTATGACATTGGTTAACAATTAGGGGGTTGTTTTTTGTGGGGGTTTTTTCAGACTAAAAAGTATCATTTTATATGGTTTGAGTTTTTGGTAGAGGAAGGATGAGAATAGCATAAAATTAAGTGTCCCTCAACAAAAGCAGTTAATGAGTTTTTCTTTTCCTAATAGTTTTAAAGGTGTGATGTCCCTTTGGATACCAAGAGTGACTTCAGTTTAACTTGATCTTTGTATGTTCTTACCTATGTAGATATTCTGCCAATTCAGTTCCTCGAACATCCTTCACCCCAGCAGTGAGACCCAGACAGGGCCACCAAGAGTAGAGAAGAAGCTGGAAAAAATCACTGGGACCCTGCAGCCAGGAAGGGGACCTAGGGAAAATGTTACGTAAAGATTTTTTTCAGACAGTTTGCTCTCACTGGATACATGTGTGTTGGGGGACAGCTTCTGGAAACTTCTTCACTGGGCCTAGATCCATTCTCAGTGCTCCTGAGTCTTCATTTTATATCTGATTAATAGAAACATTTTGAAACTTAGGGGATGTACAGATTTAAATATTCAAATCTCCCTATTCCCTGAAAATACCCACGCAGCTGTTAGTGGAAAAACCAGTCAAATAACTTAGTTTGTTGTAGTGTTCTCAAAATAATGGAGATTTTTTTTTTTTTTTTTAATTATATTGGTTGTGTCATGTTATCACAGCTTTTAAAAAAACTTTTTGGATTCATGTTTTAAAACAAAGTAAAGTAGAGTTCCATGTTCAAAATCAATGTGTCTTTTAAAGTATTTAAATATATATGTTGTTGTTTCTGGACACAGGAGACCTGGATATAAATATAATTACATAGTAATATTAGTATTATTAGTAGTAATAGATACAATACTAATTGTATATATGGTAGTAACCAAAAGAGGTTATTAAATTAGCATAATTCCTTTTAGTGGGACATTTATTTTTTGCTATGATAGACTAATATGAGTGGAGTCCCTAGGTACCACAAACAGTTAAGCACTCCCCTGCTGGCTGAAAGGCTGGCTGTTTGAACTCACCCAGAGGTACCTCGGAACACAGGCCTGGTGATCTGCTTTTGAAAGGTCACAGCCTTGAAAACCCTATGAAGTGCAGTTTTACTCTGCACACGAGTCAAAATCGACTTGATGACAACTAACAACAACAGTAATGTAAGAGTAACTGAGCCAGACCAAGGTTTAATGGCAGTGGGTAATTTTATGTCTGGTTGAAAGTTTGTATTTAGAGAAACGAATTAAGATTGTATTCATTTTTTCCTGAAAACTACTTGATTTAAAAAAAAAAAAAAATGAGTCCTGTGCTCACTGCTAAAATAAAACACAATCTAATGCTTTTAGGTCAAAATATCATTTTAGCAGTTTACACGCTCCCTTAGAAACCAAAGTTGCTTTCAAGGACTTTCCAAATATCTGCACTTCTGATAATGTCAGAATCAAACCAGATAATTCTCTAATTCTTCCTTCAAGTAGATACCTTCCCACTGGAAAGTAAACAAAACTATCCCTCCCACCCACAAAGCTAGCCCAGACCCTATTTCAAAGCATTTTCTTTCAACTGATAAAGTCCTACTGAAGCCAGGCAGGTGGTTGTCTCCCTGTATCGCTGGGCACAGGTGTGATGGCAGGAAAAGCTCTGGGAGGAAGGTGTTTACATGCATGAGGAGTTCCACTCTTAGGCACCTTCAGTCTTGGCGCTTCCCGGGTTACAAGGTGAAAAAGCCAAATGAGACACAGGATTCTTTAAGAGTGGATGTCATTTTCCAAAAGCACAGAATACATCTGGCCATGACTACCCGATGTCAAGCCATCTGAAGACTGCATGAGGCTTTTCAGTCCTCATACCGATGCAATGACCTTGTGCTATATCACTAAAAGGCAGAAGTTTCCAATCTCTAACTACAGATTCTGAACAAAAAAATGAATAATGCTGAATGTTTTTTGGTTTTAATTTATTTACTTTTAATCCAGTCAAATAAAATAATCACTGCTGAGCACAATCACATGTAGAAACAAGTGTATTGATTTTACCTTTTGTTAACTTACATGTAATGTTTAAAAGAAAAAATAGTAAACTTCAAACAATATTGTAGAATTATATCGGTTGCTTCTCTGTGGAAACTCACAATTTTGCTAGATCCTTCTGAATACTAAAAAATCACTGATATGGACTATGTTTTTTCTATAGAAGAAGATGAAAACAGAACTAGTAACTAGAACTGGGTATACATACAAATAAATGCAATAAATACTTGCTCATTTATCAGCATAGGCAAGTCAACTGAAAAGGACATAATGTTTTGGGCTAAAAAGAACAAAATTTTAAAATTGGATTTGTGTAAATTTGGCAAGTCTCTTAATCGCTCTGTTTCATCTGAAGCTATGAATAATACTACTACTGACCTCCCTTGATTCTTCTTGAGAACCAGAGGAGTAATGTATATGAAATCCGCTGAAAATTATAAGATTCTTAACAAATTATAAGTGTTACTTTTAAACTCATCCCTACAGTGGATCAGGTTGACTCAGTTGTTCTTAGGACCTTATCTGGGGCTGGAGAAATGGTCAGAACATGGTATCAACAGTTTCTACCTGCTAGTCTAATCTGTCAGGTAGGCAACACTGTCACACAACCAGAAAAAGGCCCTTTAGTTTATACAAAGAATTTATAATAAAATTTCCCCCAAATAATGGAAAACAACAATAACAACAAAAATAACAACAAAGAACATGCTGCTTTGACCTATAGGACTTCTTTGCAACCTTCCCTAGAAAGTGTTTCTGTTACCAGGCAGCCTAAGCATGCACTGCGGATGACTTTTGCAATTAAAACACTACAAAGCAAAAAGAGAAAAAAAAAAAAAAAGTCTAAGAAGAAAATAGTCTTGCCCCTTTAATTGGATGGTTACTTGCATGTGATTTTAAGATATCCAGTCCTATAGCCATTCACTGTAAAATTTAAAATCAGAAGGAAATTAATCTGTCTCACCACTTTTCTCTCAAAGCAATGTGTTATGATCAACCTGAAAAACCAAGTTCACAAGTGGTTAAGCTATTTCTAAAACCTGACTTTTGTGTCTAACAATCTGGCACTGTACACAATCATAGGACCATAAAAGGTGGGGCCTTTTATAATTATCATTATTTTATAATTATTAGATGATACCCAATCCAACTCTCTCATTTTAAAGTCAAGGAAAAGTGAGGGCAGCGTCACAGAGTAAATGCCAGTCATTCCTGAATTTGCTGTCCTATTCACTCTGTCATTTCCAAAGAAAGGATCTGGTCCTTGTAATTGGAAGTGAAAATAATACACTTTGAACATTTTTTTAAGAAGACATTCCTGTTTAAAAAGCTGTATCTAGCCTAGTCAGGGATAGAGAACACTCCCCAACAAAAAAGTTCTCAATGCTTAGTGATGCAGTTATCACATTCTGGTGGTAGATACACATCCGGAAGTCCAACACCACTTGTTACTCTAAAAGCTACCACCACCCCTGGACAGCCCTTCTTGGGCCTAAATTTTCGAGACATCAAAGTAGCTACCATTTGGTGCTTACTATGGTCTCTTCCAGACAATTTGCATGCATCATTTCACTTAATCATAGAAGCTCAGGTGAAAGGGCCCTTAAATATCATTATTCTCTGTACTCAATGTTTAACTTCTCTAGACAATATGACAGACACTATGATGCACTACTCAAATCCCCCCTTTTTGACCCTGGTGCTGAGAGTGCTGTCAGCAGACAACAATAGTCAGCTGTCAGCCCCCCTGGGAACTGCTCCAGCTGAAGAGAGCCACTTCACCCAAGAGTCTCCTCATCCAATGAATGATCAACACAGGAGCGTAAAGGCCTGGATATCCCAGCCCAGTGTGGAACTATTCTAAAGGGCCATTCTAGTGTCAGAGCCCCCCCACGGTTCAGCCAAGTCTGTCACTGAGCCCACATCACACCCTTCTTGCTCCCCTCCCCTCCCTTTCACAGGTGTTGATCCCAAGGCCCTCCTTGATGGCATCTTGTATTTGAATTTCAGATTACAAAAACTAACTTCTTTAGTACAAGCATATCCCAAATAGTGCATTGGATATACTTACACTAAAAAATAACTTGGAGTCCTGTATTCATATTTGCTAAATCTGGCCACTCTAACAAGGAGAGACTGCAGAAAGAACCCACTGACATGGGGTTTTGGAGCTGGACCACTAGCTGCCCTGCTGGCAATAAGGACCCCATCGCTGGTCGCAGGTGGAGCACCAGTAAGCCCCAGGACAATGAGTTGGTACAACTGTGAACACTTTCATTGGTGATAAACTGAAACGGCACATCAGTGAAAAGGACTGCATTAGCTGGTGCTATGGATTAGATGTTTAAGAGTTATGGGAGCAATGGTGACTAAAAGAATAATGAAATCAGGTGGCCACTGCTAAGTTTGACTGACACTCTGGAAAAAGACAGTGAAAGGCTGAGGTGATAAACTGCCAACTGAACGCTAAGTGGGAAAGCCGACAGCCTCCTTAGCAGCATGTACAAGACTCTCACCTCCTGCAGTGGAAGGGCAGACAAAGCTGAGTGCCAGACCCGACTTCAGATCAGAGTTGGTCCAAAGAAGGTTAAGCTCCCAACCAAAAAAGATCTATACCAAAACCAGGGTATGAAAGGGAAAGACTGGAATCCTGACACACAGGATGGGGATACCTGGGTTTATG